TCCGTTTAATGAAATTAGTCATGATGGTTGCAAATATTTTTTGACTATTATGGATGATTTCAGTAGGTGTTCTTGGACTTATATACTGAAATTAAAATTAGAAGCCAGTACCAATCTGCAAAAAATTTGTACTATGGTAGAAACTCAATTTGAAACAAAAGTAAAAACCATTCGGACTGACAATGGAGGAGAGTTTAATATGAAAGATTTTTATCTAAAACATGTGATTTTGCACCAAAGAACGTGTGTAGAGACACTTCAACAAAATGCTACTGTTGAAAGGAAGCATCAACATATTTTAAATATTGTAAGAGCACTAAAATTTCAAAGTAGCATTCCGCTGAAATATTGGAACCACTGCATTCTCACGGCTGTATATCTCATCAATAGAACTCCATCTCCATTGTTAAATCATAAAAGTCCCTTTGAGATTTTATTCGAAAAGAAACCCAGCTATGCACATTTAAAAGTTTTTGGGTGCTTGGCATTTGCTACTACTTTAGTCAATGGAAGATATAAATTTGATCCTAGGGCTAGAAAGTCTGTATTTATTAGTTGCCCTTTTGGTGTCAAAGGATATAGGCTTTTCGACCTTGATACTGGAAAGGTTTTCATTTCTCGAAATTTTGTATTTTATGAAACTGTCTTTCCATTCAAAATGGACAAAATCAGCCATCTTAATACTAATATCAACAACATTGATCCACTACCAAATCCAAATGAATTGAATTTTACTCAAAACCCTGTCATTTCCATTCCCAATTTACCTGTTCACAATTATTTTAGAGACATTGTCGACTTCAATACCACTTCAGAAACTAAGCCAATGCCTACTGGCTACTGCATTACCAGATTCCCAAAACAATGAACTAATCAGTTCTCAAAATAACTCCAGACTGGAAACAAAAATTCATGACAACATTCATACGCACTTCCCCGAAGATCAACCAGAATAAGAAGAGCCCCTGCTCATTTGCAAGATTTCATATGTCGGCAGTCAACTTCACTTCTTCCATCCCAGAACTTGCACAAGTAGAAAGTCCAGAATTTACCAGGTAATCCCTTTCCTCTGAGTGCCAGCATATCTTATGATAAGTTGTCTACACCACATAAGGCTTTTGTGACCTCCATAACCTCACACACTAAACCTAAAACTTATTTAGAAGCCAGTATATCACCCGAGTGGGTAGATGCCATGAAAGCTGAAGTTACTGCTCTTGAAGTCAATGACACTGGATTTGCCTCCTAACAAAGAACCAATACGGTGTAAATGGGTTTACAAATCAAATTTCTAGCTGATGGTAGTATAGAAAGATACAAAGCCAGACTTGTTGCTAAGGGGTACACACGGCAGGAGGGGTTGGATTACCATGAAACGTTTTCTCCCGTGGCAAAAATGGTTACTATAAGAACTTTGTTAGCGATTGCAGCAGTAAAAGGGTGGTATTTGCAGCAGTTTGATGTCAATAATACCTTCTTGCATGGGGATTTAGAGGATGAGGTGTACATGATGTTACTCCCGGGGTATCCTGGTGAAAATGGGAGAAAAGTATGCAAATTAAACAAAAGTTTGCATGGTCTCAAACAGGCCTCAGGCCTCACGCCAATGGTACTCAAAGCTGTCAAATTTCATCATTCACCAAGGATATATTCAATCCAAGGCAGACTACAGTTTGTTCACAAAGGTTACTGATGATTCCTTCACAGCTATTTTAGTATATGGGATGATATAATAGTTGCTGGAAATGGCATGGATGCAATTGATCAACTGAAAAGGTCCCTTGATGCTCAATTCAAAATCAAAGACCTTGGTAAGTAGAAGTATTTTTTGGGTATTGAAGTGGCCACGACAACAAAGGGGATTTATTTATGCCAACGAAAATATGCTTTGGATATTTTAGGAGACTCGGGTACTATTGGCTCTACTCCAGCAAAGATTCTTATAGATCAAAATGTGAGAATGTCCAAAGAAGAATGAGAGTTACTTCCTGAACCTGCTCTTTATAGAAGGTTAATTGGCAGATTATTGTACCTTACCATAACCAGACCTGACTTAGCTTACTCAGTTCAAATGCTAAGTCAGTTCATGGAGAATCCAAGAGTGCCACACCTGCAAGCAGCTCACAAAGTACTACGGTACATCAAAAGGTCACCAGGGCAGGGTTTCTTCTATTCAGCAGACTCTGAAATCCAACTCAAAGGCTTTAGTGATTCAGATTGGGGGCTTGTCCAGACACTAGGAGGTCTGTAACAGGCTACTGCGTGTTTCTTGGGAAATCCTTGGTGTCTTGGAAGTCAAAGAAACAAAGAGTGGTCTCTAGATCCTCTGCAGAGGCAGAATACCGAGCAATGGCAAATGTTAGCTGTGAATTGACTTGGCTGAAGTATTTACTCGAAAATTTTCAGTTTCTCATCCACAGGCTGCATTTTTGTACTGTGACAACAAATCAGCTATACATATTGCCACCAATCCCGTGTTCCATGAGAGAACAAAGCACATAGAGATAGATTATCATTTAATTAGAGACAAAATTCAAGAAGGTTGCTTTTCAACAGAGCATGTGACAGGCAAACTGCAGGTGGCAGACATTCTCACAAAGAGCTTAGGATCACAAAGTTTTTATTCGTGTTTGTCCAAGACGGGAGTAGAAGACATCTACTCTCCAACTTGCAGGGGGCTATTGGAAGATGACAAAGCAGCTGAGTTGGATAGACACGAAGGAGCTGGTTGAAGAATCAGCAGTACAATCAGGAAATTGAAAAGTGCTTCAATGATTGGCAGCCAAGTTGCAGTGACAGAATGAGAATCCTCTAGAAGGTGAAGAAGGAATTCTTTGTAATTAGTTACATTTCTGTTGAGAGAACGTGCTCTAAATTATTCCCTCTAGAATAGTCTATAGTGTGTATATATACTCTGGTATTTTGTACAGTTTAAACAAGCAGAAAATCAATACAATTCTTTGCTTCATTTCTGCCTCAATCATTCAGTTATCTTTCTCTATTATCAATTCATTTCTAACATTCAATGGTATATCAAGCTGACCAGATTCTTAATTTTCTAGCACTTGCTGGATCTAATGGGATTTTTCCTTAGTTTAGAAAATCTAAGATTTCGTCCATCGAGGTCGGCTTAGGGTCCACCAACATGGCGATTGCTCCGTTGTCAGTTGCGGCATGCCTTATTCTTCCTACTGGAATGCTGTTGAGTGATTCCACCGATGGTCTCGAAGCTAGCTAGTGAATTCAAGTGATTATTCTAAGATCTCGAGGTTTTCTTTACCTTTAAGCTTCGAAGGTTTTCAGCTCTCTCTAGATAGCCTGGAGGTTATTTAATCATTTCTTCTTTGGCTTTGATTAACGATGATATAGTAATCACTATACAATATTACATTGGATATCTTTATTTTTTTTACCATTCTTAGACCGAGATTCATGGCTTTGGACTCTACTTCATTGTTAGAAGCTTTGAAGTCAAAGCTTAACGTTTGGAAAAGTATCGACGCTTGGGGGCTTATCAACACAATTCCTTTCCCTGATCGTGTTCAAATAGAGGACTCTTTTACGTACATCTTATTTTTTGATCATTCTTAGGCCAGCAATCATGGCTTCAGACTTTACTTCATTGTTAGAAGCTTTGAAGTCAAAGCTCAACGCCTGGTAGAAGCAGTGCGCTTGGGGCTTATCAACACAATTCATTTTCCTGATCGTGTTCCGGTAGAGGACTCAACAATAAACAGCTCCTAAGTGGTATCTTTCTATTGTCGAACTTCTCAGGAATTCAGGTTAAACTCGGTCATAAAGTCAACTAAGACTTGTCCCCTGATATTGGTTCGTGGTTTGTATGAGATGTCAAATTTGACCCAATTCGACCATTCATTCTACCGTCAAACCTAAGGTGCCTGGTTTTTGGTTTTAGGACACTTAGTGGGCCCTAACAATTTGGTTTGGTTTGATTTGGTTTGGTCTAATTTTACCGTTTCAATGAAGATAAAGGCTGTAATGTTTTTTTAGATGAAAAATTACAATTCGGTTTTTTTAACATTTCAATTTGATCCCTAATTTTAGTGTATTTCTGTAATTTCCCTATATACTATAATTTATTTAAATTAAACATTAACTTCAATCACACATTTTTAAGTATTACGCTCTTTTTGATGGTCATTATAAGGAAAAATGAAAAAATGATACTTTGATTAGTCATTTTTTTTAGAACGTGGATTGAAAAATAGAGAAAATTTTATTTAATTGTGTGTGTCGTTGAAAATGAGTATTAAAAGTAAAAAGTTTTAAAATAAAAAGAATCAAACAGGAATTAATTATTATCCATACATTTCGTAAAGTTCATTACTAACCTCATCTTCTTCGTAAACCATGTATAAATTTGCCAAACGGGAGTAAGATGGCAAATTATGTTAAAAGAACTCATTTTGACATTTTCTGTCAAAAAAATATTATTACTTAATTTCTGTCTGTCTAATGATGTGTTGTCAGCAGCATTTCTTTAATTTAAATTCTAGATCATTAGCTTTTCGAACATGAACAAGATGACCCAAGTGTAACATACGTCCCCCCAAGATGCAGAATGACAGGGGTCCTTCCAAGATATAAGGCAATCTGTAGATAGACTTGTAATGATATTTTAATCTACAAAATTTGCACCATTACACGAAGAATTTGCTTGCCTTCAAACATTTGGAGTAATTTACATACTTCTGCGCGGAAGAAATCAATATAATCCTCTTAAGCTCGACTTTTTTCCAAAGCTACAAACCTCCAAGCATGGGCACGGGGGATTCTATCAGAAAATGCAATTGATACTACCTCGTCACAAATAGGCTCGCTTGTATACTTATTCCAAGCCACTGGCTCAGAAAAATCACCTTCCAGCAAGAATCTGAGGTGAAGATGTCAACAGAACTAGCCCTTGTGTCAACTAGTAGCACCGTGCTGCTGCTCAGCTAGAGCAAAGCTTTAACAAAAATAATGTTTTGATGGTATCATCATGCAACTACTAGTAGTTCTGATTGAGATTGCTGGTCTTCGGCACCTGAAAGCAATGGGGTCTTTTGGAACTCGTTCCTCAACTGCCCACACGCTGCACTTGCATCTAGTCCCCGGGTTTGACGTACACTGACAGTTATTTTACGAGACTCCAGAGCAGTCGAAAATGCAAGAACCTGAACCAAGGAAGTCAAAATTTATTAGTCATATACTAAACGTAACGCTGAACGAGTCTGACAAAGGCCCAAATTAAATGGCTGATGGATCCACAAGTAGGATGGAGACCGCATACTGATTTCTTATATGGACGCTTGTACTCTGAACCTTCTATTGGATTGTAGGGTATCAGGTTTACATGATAACCAGGGCCCCATTTAAGAAGAAGCTCTGCAAGTTCTTTTGCATGCTCTACTGCATCATTGACTCCAGCTGCAAAAGAGATGAGAAGAAAAGAAAGAACGTCACACCATTTGTCTCGTCTAGATGCATATTTAAGAAAAAGAAACTTAATGAAGCAAAACACCAATACCTAAAAGTGTGTACTCAAAGGATACTCGTCGACTGGTTTCATGGAAGTAGTCCCTGCAGTCCTTCATGATTGCATCCAAAGGGTAGGACTTTGCACTTGGCACAATTTTTTCCCGGAGTTTCTGATTCGGAGCATGTAAGCTGATTTTGAAAACATTGAAAAGAGGATGAGAAGCAAATAACTCCTGCACCGAGAAAGAAGTGCCAATCGTGCTTTTTTTTTTTTTGCAACTGGAATGGTAACTCAGTAAAGTAGGTAACAAAGAAACAACCCCTCAAATGAGGATATTACAGATCCAAATCCAAATTTAAAAAAAAAATGAAAAATCCTATATTTGTTTTTTGGAGGGATTAAGGTGCCTTCTTCAAATTTCGTAAAGCGGAAATAGTGATGAAAAAGGCTAATATACTCTTGAGTAGAAATATAGCAAGGGAACTTGCATAGCAGCAATTCCTTTTAGTTTTACGCCGCTTAACTAATAATTTCAATTAAATATAAGCTATTATCAATAGTAATTAACAAATAAATGAAAAAAAATAGTGACATGGTGGCAAATGAAGTACTTCCTAAATGTGTAGTAGAGTGAAATTGAGGAGCATGAATCTAAATATTAGCAAAACAAGAGCTTTAAAAAGTCAAGCGGCAAATAAAAATGCAATTGATTTAACTAGTGGCAACATTATAAATATAAAAGAAACGCACAAATATATCATAAAATTTAATGAAAAAGGTTTAAAATTTAAATCCCTCTTGATTTTCATTTTTTATCATTATTATTTGAAAATAAATCAAATAAATTCAAAAATGGCAACCATTTTTCAAATAAATCACACCCCTTGAAAGAAAAACAAGAATCCTACATTTTTCTTTACGGCCCACCCGGTCAACGGGCAGTCACCTTTTGAATGTCCGTGTATATGTCAATATTATTCACCCTTGGTAAATATAAAAACCATTGTCAAAATATCTTTCACGATATTTTAGAACTTTTTAGTATTATTTCCTATTAATTTGATTGCTAAACTATACAAAACAATGATTTTCTTTATAATTTTTGAATCGAACAATTAAAATTTAACGAGTATCATTAATCATTCACCACTCTAAAATCAAATACTAAAAAAGACAACTATCATTAAGAAAAACAAAAATTAATAAAAAAAATAAAAAATTAGAGAGAGAGAGAGAGAAATTGGAGCACGTGGAGCATAGAAAGTAGTACCTGATAGCCAATGTAGATTGAAGTTTGTAAGAAGCCAGCTTTTTTATAGTGTTCGGAACTCCAACTGTCGAAATTGTTATCATCCTTTGTCCAATTTGAATATCCTTAAAAAATGAGAAATTTCAAGGTTAGGAACTTGTTAAACAATCTACGTAAATCTGACCCCAAATTTATTAGGAACAACCTTAGTTCATTGTTGTTAGTGTCATCATCTAAATTAATATATAGACTAAATTATGCGTATACCAAGTTAAAGAAATTCAGTGAAATCCTTTATCTCTTATACTACAAACTGAGTTAATATATAGACTAAATTATGCGTATACCAAGTTAAAGAAATTCAGTGAAATCCTTTATCTCTTATACTACAAACTGAGTTAATAAGTTAAAACTTGTTTTTTTAAAAATTGAGCATCACAATGAATCTGCATAATGGGTGTTATGATGTTTTCACATGATTTCTACCAATATCACATTGGAATTATGTATTACTCAAATGGCCATTTCATGAAGCTAAAAGTAAGAAGGGTTGTGCAAGCTACTTAATCAACCGAAACCTCACCATTGGATAACCAGAAAAATTAACATCTGTACAATTTCATTATAATGCCATTAGATGAAATTGTTCCTTGCTCTCTTAATTTTATTCTTACCTTTTCAGCAAATAATGGTGACAACTGTTCGCTAAAATTTCCTCTCTGAAAGGAATAAGTCAACAACTAACGTTCTTTTGCTAATAAAAACACTTGTTCAGGCCAACTAAAATCCCTTTAAACTTATGGCAATAAAATGTGCTTGACTTATGATGAACAGTTATTGAAAGAATAGTTTTGTTAAAATGGACAAAGATTGACGATGCTACTACATGCTGTGTTTCTTCACCATGTTGTCTCGGTAAGGATCAATTACTATGAGATCCTATTTCCTTCAAGATTTATCTTCCCTGATGATCAGGGTCATCATGCCACTAATTTTTAAATGTTGCATAAATCCTGTTAATAACATTTGGGCATCAACATGAAGAAAAGGATATTTTGTGGTTTCAAAATCATGTTTGACAAATGTCAAAAAAGGGTTCAGCATATATTGTAAGCCATGATAAGAGCTCAACTGTTTCTTCAGCATTGGCATATTTGGAAATGCTGGCCTTGGATTGAAATACAGAATGTTTGTTTTGCAACTTTCAGTTTCTTTGATATTTAATCCTCCGGAATATTAGAATTGCTCAATTTAGAAGGAAATCATAAATGGAGAATTAGAATTATCAATAATAGATAAATGATCGGAATATGCTTTCAAGATAACCACCTAAACTATAAGAAAGAAATCAAAGTACCACAAAATAGTTTAAACAATCTGTAACAGAAATACACATGCAAGATTTTTTAGACAAAAAATAAAAAAAAGGTTGTGCAAGTAGAAAATTTACTTGGCACAGACTTGATATACCTTATTCAAGCAACGATGTGCTTCAAGTACTTCTTTCATGTTCAACATTGGCTCTCCCATTCCCATAAACACCACATTTGTTACTCTCTGTTTGAAAAGTTCTTCAATTGCCAAAACCTGAAGATTTATAAATTGGAAACAGTTTATGATGCTGAAAATATCTACAAGCACAACATGTGAAACTCTATGTTTAAAGAGCTCTTCAATTGCCAAAATGCACTGAAGTAATATATTTAAAAGAAAAAGATTTTATACTGCAAATTCATAATACTCATGCGTACAAAATATCCAGATCTTAAGCACAAATGATTACTGCCACAAGGTGGACTGAAATATAATCACCGCAGTTAACTAGCAACTGGAAGTTCAACAACACATTGCTGGACAGGGTTAGCTGAGCTAAGTTCTGCTTAGATCACCTGATATTAAGGAAAAAAATGGTTTATTTGTCCATTTCCTTCTCTTCTACTTCGGCCAATATGAGTTCACCTGGTAATAGCAGCTTTATTGGGGAATTTATCTCATATAAGTGAAATCTTATTCTTACTAAGCAAATAGCATTTCCTATTAAAGAAATCCAAGCGGCAGGTGGAATGATTCCATCCTAGCTTTGGCTCATTAAATAAGGTTGCCCAAAATCAACTTACACTCATCAAAAACAAAGAATATGCTGCCTCCCTGAATGCAGCTCAGTTCATTAATTTAGAGCACTTGAACTCAAAACTTGTGCTCATGAACAAGCATGCATTAACTTGTAAACATCATCAAATTACGGATGATGTAGCCCACTTAGATAATGATTCAATCTTCCTTATGAAAAACAATAGACGTGAAAAAGATTCCCAGTTCCATGCCTTCTCGATCATACTGTTTGCAATAACAAGAAAACAAAAAAGAAACTTATACATGCAAGTATTCATGAAATTGACCTGTTTAGTAAATGATGCCTATCTTCTAACTAAACCCGTCCACTTAAACAAATGAAGAAAAAGGGCTAAGCAGAACACTGTGCAGTCCAAAAAAAGCTTGGTCTGTGCAGGGTAAAAGAAAAGGCAAGTCGGGTAGTTACTGATGGAGGTTTTAGAACCCAGCCAACTGAAATCCACACCTTTCTTCTCTTTCTGCCCACATAAATGTAAGGGGAGGGGCACCAAAAATGTTTAAGATAGACAATGTACTCACATGCAAAAATTTGGTGGTTTGAAGAAATCATCCTAATATAAATAACTTCAAAAATTAGTCTGGATCAAAGGAAGACATACCTGCTCGACAATTTCATGCTTTTTAAGATTCCTTGAGAAACCCCCCTTGCCGGTGGCACAAAACGAACAACGCAGTGGGCATCCCACCTGGTTAACAACAGTGGAAAGTAAATGTAATTAAAATACCACTATAAGCCAGTTCGGTATTGTTAAGATAGAAGGTTCTTAGAGGCCACACTAAAATGTTGTATAATCTCAGAATGACAATTCAAATAAGTATCCTATCTTATTTTTTTAAGGTGCGTCCAAGCAATTAAAACTGCTTGCTTCTTGCTCATAGCAAAGCAAAACTTTTCAAGTTCTTATAACTACTAAAATGAAAATCCTATCTTATTTTTTTAAGGTGCGGCCAAGCAAGTAAAACTGCTTGCTTCTTGCTCATATCAAAGCAAAACTTTTCTTGTTCTTAAAACTACTAAAATGAAAAACTTAAATTGCTTGTAAGCTCTTACTGCTTATAAGTGATATAAATACCCTCTAAGATGTATGCTAATTAAGTTCATAAATAGCATTTCCTAAAAGGAAGTAACCTAGCCTAGAAAAAAATTATAAGCTGTGAAAGTTACCTGTGATGAGACACAAGCAGTTAGACGAACAGAACCTTTATCATCTTTAACAGGTATGCCGACAGTTTCGACCAACCTATTGTCCTCAAGCTTTACAAGTAACTGAAAGAGGAAGAGAAATTATGAGCGCACGATATTGGAAGGAAGCAGGAGAAGGGAATACATAGGGAGAGAGGGAGCAGGAAGGAGTGAGAGATAGTTTGACGAAAATTAATGTTGAATGTACATCAGAAAGCAACAAGTATTCTGCCAAAGAATTTTGAAGTTCAGGAACTCAAAAAGAGTCGTATACTCGCATAGACCACAATAATGCATACATAATTTTGTAAGGGTAAAAATTTCAGATACGTCCAAATCTTGAAATAAAAGAAAGTAAGCATTTTTAGCTGTTTCTTTCAGTGAATTCTTTAAACAGTCTTCTCTGTCTTCCTCCTTGATAACCCAAATAAGAAAAGGTGAAAAGAATATCCAACTTATGACTTCCAATTAACTAATATACTCTGAAAAGGTCTAAAAAATTAAAATGTCGTTTTAGAATCTTCTCAGTCAATAGGAAAACTCTTAATCACTTCAACATTTTCCTACAAAATAATTCACAAAAGTAGATGAATTAGAAACTGATTTCTCAGAAGCATAAGCAATTACTATAGTCAAACTCTTGGGCAAATATTGGAAAAAATGTAACATATGTCCAACTTTATATCAATCGATTTTGCATTCAATTTTCCAGATGAAATTAACAAGAAACGGCTATAGAGATTTTTTAAGAAGCATTCAGCTTTAAACAAAAATATAAGAACAATAGCCGTGTGTTCACCTTAACTGTACCATCAGCTGCAGTGACTGCCTTATGAACGGATGACCGCCCAACCCTCCATCCCGCGTCCTGCAGTTCATTCCGAAATGCCAATGGCACTTCTCGCCCGCAGAAGCAATTACAATAAAAAATTCACAGAACTCAAAATTATCCATTACCCTTCTCCCCTCCCAAAATAATTTAAAAATAAAAAAAGAGAGAGAGTACTCACAGTGACTAAAATCCTGAATTTCTTTCACCTTCCTCTTGTACAGCAGATGATGCAATTGCTTCCCCCTATAACTTTGCTGTAATAAACAAGTCAAAAAGTCAAATTCTCGAAAAAGAAAACAATAATAATTCATTTCACGCCTTTAGATATATCGTTAACGGAATTAGACGAACCTGACCGAAGTCGAGGGCGAGTTGTTGAAGGTCTTGCTCGGACATGCCGAGGAGCACCTGAGGATCTTCCTTCTTCTTGTTGAGAGAAGGCGCTGTGACAGTGGCGGTGCCGCTGCAGGCAACTGACATAGCACGGGCATGGATGGCACGCGCTAGAGGCACCGTGCACGCGTGGTGAAATACGGACATACGCGCCATTGTTTGGAGAATAGAAATTCAGATTTGAATGGAGGAGAAGATGGCATAAACGATAAACCCTTTTGCATAAACCCAAAGACCATAATATCCAGGAAAAATTAAAAACTGAAAAATAGTTTTTTTTTTTTTTTTTTTTTC